ATATTTTTGTGGGGACAGATCCACAGGAACACAATATAGAGCTTACACAGAGTTTACACCTACCCAAATGCAATAGTAATAGTCTATAACAAAACTGCATTTAAGGATTTAGAATGATTAAAGGCACAATTGTACCTTGTCATAATTAGGTGCATAACCATCAACACTGAACCAATGGATCATCTTTTTATTAGACATAAAGGAACAGCATTGCATAATTTTGAGCTTATTATCCAGCCCAGAGTTTGCCCTTACTGACATTCCTCAAAGCTGAATAAATGACACGCTCCGCTGTTAAAACACAGAGACCTCCATTTAAAAGACTACTCATTATCCATCTTTAAATCATAATCTGTCCAATCAGCATCCACACATTGATTATTAAGCGAGTTTGAAAAGGCAAGCCTTACTATGACTATTCATGCTACCATAAATGGCAGAGAAAAGAACAAAAGAAGATATTCTGAAGAATGTTCGCATGGGGTCCAAAACAACATCAGACCCTATTAACTTTTATTGTACAGGAAAGAAAAGAAAACACAGACATCTTTAAAATATCTTCTTTTGTGTTCCACAGAAGAAAGTCATACAAGACTAGAACAACATGACAGCAAGTAAATTATCACAGAATCAGAAGCATGATTAGACTGGTTTGTCCATTTTTCACGAAACTCTAAAATATCGTCCCATTTATTGTGTCTGGCTTTGGTGACAGTGCTTCAGAGGGGATGAAAATGTAAAAATCTAATTGTTAATATGATCATGCATCTAAGTACATTTTAACTTGTCAGCATTCTTGTCACAGCAGTGCTTTCTTATCAACATAAAGGATTGATGTGTGGCAAAAGCAATCTGAAAACATAACATAGAGCTCCTTATAACGGATAGGAGAATGCTTTATGGAGCTGTCCACTGAGAGAGACAGGCAGATGACAGTATTATAGAACCATATAAATTACACATTTAAAGCCAGAAGAAGTCAGTCATGTTAAGACACTCCTAAAGCATTGTCCCTTCAGTTACGCAGCCAAAACAGCCTGAAACATAATCAAGGACTATTAGAAAACTGATCTTTGGTTCCGTTTTGAGTTGCTGTATCACCCTGGCTGTCAAAAGGAAGAAGAGTTTCAGCAGTTTCCAGCTGGCACAATAAGATTTGCAATCTCCGTCTAGACCAGGGGTAGGCAAGTTCGGTCCTAAAGTCCTGCAGAGTTCAGTTCCAACCCTAATCAAACACACCTGAACAAGTTAATTAATGTCTTCAGGATTACTAAGGCTATAGGCAGGTGAGTTTTGTTTTCAGGGTTGGAGCTGAACTCTGCAGGACTGCGGCTCTCTAGGACTGAACTTGCCTACCCCTGGTCTAGACCAACCTTCCTCTGTTCCTGCTACTCTAGATCACTGAAGCTGCCCAGTCAATCACGACCACAGTTAATCGGGCCACTTAAATCCAAATTGGATTAACAAGATAGGAAGGGTTATCATTCACATCCAGTTCATTTAAAAAACAAAACCATGGAAGTTAGTGGTTTACATGTACACATTTGAATTGATATGCAACCACAAACCAAGGTTTTTGATTGTCACAACTTCCAAAAAATTTAAAGTTGGCCTAGGTCAGGTTCAACTGCTTCAACACACATTAAGACGGTTCTTTTTAATTGTTTTACGTTTGCTGCTATGTCAATGAAAAAACAATCTATGCATATAGACTTACTTATCAATATGATGTGATCACTGGTATGTCATCGTCTGTGTAAACACCACTAACATACCTCACAAGTAATCCATCTGTGTTTTGAATGGAGCATGAACATTGGCTACTATGACCAGAAAAGACTGGCTAGTATGACTCCAGATGGCTGGAAAATAATGCTGCGTGTTTCTTATAAAATCTCTAAGGTATGCAAAGGGACACACCACTCATACTTCATAAGACTACCCTGCAGCTGGTTCACTTTTTTCTGCATACTTGAGGCTTGATGCAAAAGAGTAAACTCAACAATTCACTGCCCGGATTGTTGACCCTTAAGAAGATATGACAGAAAGCCACTGGGAGTGGACCACAGAGTTATCTACTTCTTTAAATATTATAAATATACTCTGTTCCTCAGCAGTCTCTGCATTTGTCCACATTCAGAAAGGAGACTGTTATTGAACAGATTCAATAGCAAGCCAATAAGAGTTAAGTGCATATCTCAGGGGTCTGGTTCAGAGTCAGTCTAAATATGTGACACCGCGATTGGCATTTCATCTAGCGATCCAAAAGGATGTTGTTTTGCCATGGCACTCTCCACTGCTTGTGTCTAGCTAGCTAAGGTTCAAAGTGTTTTTAGACACTCAAAGTCTTATTTCCACTGAAGTGCATAGTCCTTAGGGAAAACGTTGTGCTGAAGCAATTCGTTAAACACCTCACAGCTGTGCTTTGGATGTTTATGATGAAACGGTGCTTTGAGACTTGGTGTTCAACTAGCATGTGATGAACAGATGAAGGCAGCATGGCCTTGCTGTCAGAGACCCGTCACTGCGGTGTCTCAGTTTGACAGGTTTGTGCCAAGCACCATAAGAGGCCACGCTTTCTTGGTTTGGGGAACACTATAAATGCCAACAGCCACAAAAATTACTGCCCAGAGAGAAATAAATAGAAGACACAAGATTCATGATCAAACTGGGACTGCTTAATCCATAGAAGGGTGTGAGAGTCTGCTGTTGTGATTTTCTGCCAATCTAAGGGGTTTGGTTCTGTAAACAACTAAAATATTTATTTGTATGCTGCAATCTCATCAAGAGCTAATACTATTTTAAAATCAGACATGAAATTTTAAGTCACTTATAACTTTGGCAAGAAAACCCATAAAATGAAATGTCCAGAGGAGACACCATCAGTGATAGAATCAGACAGTATTCCAGTATTTGTCACGGTACTGCTTGATTACCAGATTAAAAGATCCCGGAATTGACAGTTTCCATATGAAATGAACACTAGTGACAGTAAAACACTATCGATAAATAAAGATTATTTTGCATGGTTCCTTGCAAAATACTATGTTATGTCCTCAAAACACTTTTACCTTAGTGAATGATTTGCAAACTAATACATTTTGATGTTTGTATCACATAATCAGTTCCATATTTATGGGTTTTCTAACATGGTAAACTTGCTTGGTAGCTCACCTGGTACTGCGCTGCACTTGATGTTGAGCACTCTGAAACACGAGTCATGCTAAAACAGCTTGTAGAAGCAAGCGACAATGGTGTAGTTACTTTAGCAAATGTGTACTATATCATGTTTATTTTAAGTTAACACTATCGGTTTGGCTTAGGGTAGGGTTTAATGCATGTGGTATGTGAACAGCAATAGAGCATTAACCTTCTAGAAGCACTCACTGGACATTTCATTTCCGAAGTTCCGTGATACTTACAAGAAGCAATGTAAAAGACGTTGTCAAATTCATGTTCATCATTCACGTTTCAGATAAAACTAGAAATGCTTTTAGTGCCACACACTGGACATTTCACTATAAGTGTCGCAAAACGTACAAGAAGCAATGCAATATCATTTTGGCAGAAATGTTGCCACAAGGGCCTTTTTCCAATGAGCCCGAGTTGAGTTTTTTTTGTCCAAAAACATGTTACACACACAAACTAGATAGATAGATAGATAGACAGACAGACAGACAGATAGACAGATAGATAGATACTAATAATATCACTGTTTTACCGACCATGCTATCTTATCCATAGATACTTTTCTACTATGGTACTGTCCAAGGAACATAACTGCATAACCATTATGCTAACATATAAAAAAAAACTAATATATTTTCATGGAAATGCCACAGTGCTTTGTTGAAAGGGAACTCCTCGCCTTCCTCCTCTCATTTTTCTCACTTTGACTTTAAAGTCATGAAGGTTGAACAAATCAAAGTCAATATGATGGTGTCTCAAGGACTACCCTTATGATTTCTTTCCAGCTGACGAGCTTCCAAAACATGCTGGAGCGCCATTGAGCAATGCGCACTGGAGTTTGCTCAAAGGAAAACCCACAGGCTTGCCGCTGGATACGGGAAACACCCGCAGAAAGGAGGGGAGGGGAGTGTGTGAGTAAAGAGGAGGAGTGACATAATTAAACGAAGAACTGAAGTGAACGTGCATGCCTGTGAGGAGGGAGCGTATACTCATTTTTACCCAACAATGACAGTACTTCATACGAGCAGGGGGCGTTCACACTGTACGCATTCTTGCGTTTTTTATTCGTTGTTCTGAGTACGCATGCGTCGGACGTTGTGTTGCGTTTTGAAGACGGCGCGTCAAGTTAAGAACAGTTCAACTTTTAATAATGCGTCTTGAGAACGCAACGTCCTGTGTAAACGGAGGAGTCCTGCCGCACTGTCACTATATCTCAATGCACAGTACACACAATCGGACACTGCAGTGGAACAAACACACTCACACGGTCCGTCCAGTTCGGCAAAGCTTGAAAGAACACGCTTTGCATGCTTGAAATCACTGAAGCGGTCCAATGCCACGTAATCAATCACGGAGAGCGCAAGATGTGTCTCGGAGTTGCGCGTGCAGTCAGCGCTAAAGTTGAGACCACTGTTGCTTTCAAGGTTATCCTGGAAGGGAACGCACGGAGCCCATGCGCCACGAGCGCATCCGATCGCTCGCGTGTGATTCTGTAGCAAGCATGCAAAATTCAAATGTAATGTGCATACACGAGTCAAGCCGTGACACTGGCTGTACATGTGTAAACGTCTCCGGTAAACGGGACGTCTTGTACAGCTAGACTGAAAGTGCACTGGTTAATGATGCAGCACTGCTGATCACTGTGCAATGCACGAAACACTCAATGCGGACAGAAACGTCCCAAAACACTTCCTTGGCGGGTTGTTTTTATCTAACCCGCACCAGAGAGAGGAACCCAGCCCCCTTATCTCAACCCTCCCCTTGTCCAGCAGCAGACCCATGCTCGGTTGCTTTCCATTCCGGGGACTCACCGTTCGTGTGCTCTGATGATGTCGCTGTGAGGAGACACCGAATGCGGGAAGAGCAGAAGAGGCTACGGCTCCGCTGCTCCGGGACAGGAGGAGGACCGACCTACACACTTTCGCAGCCATGTCTGGAGTGAAACCCGGCCGAGAGAACGCAAGTGCTGCGGGCGAACCGACTGAGACTGTTGAAGGAAAGGGAGGGGAAATAGGAAGGGCTGCTGGGCTGGGCTAATATCTCATACACACACACGCAACACCACACACAAACGCGCACATACACGTATAGCCTACACAGATGTTTCACAAGAAGGTTGCTGTAGTTCCGCGTTCGAAGCAAATTAAAGCTCTTGTATTTCTAACGGGTGAAACTCTGACACGGTGTTTTGCGGTTATAGCTCATAACACACTCTGAAATGTCTGTATAAGGAAGTCGCAGACTGAAATACCACGGTCTCTAGGACAACATGAAAGGAGCGTTTTGATTGGCAGAGCGGTTACCTGCTGGCACCACTTGGAACTCTTTTCGTCCAATGAGAAGACGCGCAGTTCTGTAGTTTTGACAAAGAGAACGTCAGCTCGACCAATCAGAGAGCGCGGGACGCTCGCGCTCCAATGTTCTCTCTCTATGAAGGAAAAAAATAGCATCTAACTCTATATATCTAGCCTATATTTAACTTTTTATGCTTTAATTATTAAACCACGAAACAAAATCGTTAATATTTTCTTCCCAAAATTGTGTATTTTGAGAGAGTTACACATCTGTTCACTTCAAAGATAGTGGCGGATATGCCAGAATGTTGGTGGTGCATCACCACCTTGTCAGCCATGTTAAAGGGGTCATATGATGCGATTTCAAGTTTTCCTTTCTCTTTGGAGTGTTACAAGCTCTTGGTGCATAAAGAAGATCTGTAAAGTTGCAAAGACTGAAGTCTCAAATCCAAAGAGATATTCGTTATAAAAGTTCAGAGTCAGCCACGCCTACCTAAAACGGCTCGTCCTAACACGCCCCCACATATCTACCTCACTATGTGGGAAGATTCGCATGATGCCGCCCAAATGTTCACACAAAGAAAGAATGCGTAACTTTTATTCTCGCTGTAGTATTGTCTCTGACTAGCTGCGCCAAACCTCGTTCATATTCGTGCGATTTTTGGCGCAGCTAGGCAGTGAACAACGGCTCTGTGTAGTTAATGCTGCTCAATGTGAAAGCCCGCAGGTGATGGAGATTTACCGCTGATTACAGAACCGGCTTTCTGACAAGATGCGCGTTAAATATCGCATGCGATTTATCGTACCATTTAAAGAATTTGCCACTGATGATTCAAACGCGAGTTTTGGGCAGTGTAGAGTAGCGCTTGTAGTTTGTAATTTCTCTGATCACAAATGCAGACAGGGTTTTATGTTTACGCGGCGTGATGCAATGCAACGCAATGTGTAAAAAGACAGTATAAGTCATTATAATCAGTAATTATGTCCCCACTGGATGCAACAAATGCCTCGTTTGTAATGGGTTTTAATGTTTTTATCTCTTCGCTCCGGCCGGGTCACGGCATCAACAGTATGGTAGGGGCGTAACATTTCCGTCACACGCTTGAGGTATTCGGCCAATCACAACGCACTGGATAGCTGGCCAATCACAGCACACCTCGCTTTTTCAGACCGATGAGCTTTGTAAAAAATCGACACGTTTCAAAAAGGCGGGGCACAGAGGAGAAACAATAATGTACAGTATGTGGAAAATAATGTGTTTTTTTAACTTTAAACCGCATAAACAAATTTCATTACACCAAATACACAAAATAATGTTCTTTTTAGCAGCATCAAATGACCCCTTTAAAGTAGGCATAAACAACATCATCGCAATATACTTTTCCTAACCTTTCCATATTCTGAATAGTGGTTGATGTTCATGGGTTTTGTGAATGAACTTACATTGCTCCTGTACACACCATTCAAATGAACTTATTTACGTAGTCTATTATTTCTATGACTGCATTAACCAGACTGTGCTGGATTGCACCAATTAAATTAATCCTAAAGTTCAGATCAGTTATAAAAAATATAAAGGCAACAGCCTGTGTCCACTTTTTGCAGGGTGCTTTATAGTTAAAAAGTTATTTCACTGCTAAACTCAATAAACATTCAATAAAAAGACTAGAAATATGTCTTGAACCATCTCCATGGCTACCTGACGTTTATACTGTGCCACTGTGTCACCGTGTCATTCATTCTTGCTTCCTGGCAACTGTTCCATCCTGTGCATTATATAATTATGTCTCTATTATTAGTCTGTCCTTCAAACAGTTCTTTGGATTTATAGGACAAGAAAAATTCAAACCGCATTTAATATACTCTGTCGAGGCACCTAATCCACTTAAAGCAATAACGCAATACACACTGAAATTCAATCTACTGGCATATCGTGTAGGGCTAGTTGTTTCTGATCTCAAAAACATCACTAAGCAGCCAAACACAATTTCAAAGAAAAGGTTTTCAAAGATGTGTGTTTTTGTCTGTTCAAATGTTGCATGGTACGTCACACCCTGCAAACTGTTGCTACACATTCCAGAGTTCAACAGATGATTGAATGCTCGTCTACAACATATATGACTCTATAATGCATATGCACTGTAACTCCATTACTGCTCCAAAAGATCACAGATCAATCTAAAGCACTATTATAGCATTGATCTGATTCAGTGGCGTTATTTAGATTACACAGTGACAGATGTCAGGGTTTTACTTTGGGATTGCACTATTGTTTGCATATACAAGTTCTGCTAGAAACAGATGGCTGTTATTGAGTTCCCATGAATCTATTATGTCATTCATTAACAATTTTACATCAATCATAGACAGCTGCATACATCCTAATTTAATCTTTACTGGTGTTCAAATATTTCAAATCCACTTTATTCTGTGATCTTACTAACAACTGTTTTCCTAGGAGTGATTCTCCAAGGTCAGTCAGATGGGATTTGTTACCTTTGAGCTTTGGTTCCTCCCAAGGTTTCTTCCTCTACCTTAAGGAGTGGTTTACTGCCGTTGTTTGCCTTTATTTTTATGACCACGACTGATAAAAGCACTAAATAAATAAGCCTGAACTGTGCACTCTTAAATTGAATCACTGAAAAACCCTTTTTGTAACCTTTCTTTTACTTTTAAGAGTACAGGCTGACTGTTAATGGTATTTGTTGCCAGATTAGGTAACTAGGTTAACTTTATTTGTGATAAGATCTTTCGAATAAATCTAAGATAATTTTGGAACTGTTTAGCTAACTACATTGTTTTGATACTTTTTTCCCCACTAAATGATGTATGTAAATGTTTGAAAAGGGCAAATAGACAGAGACTATTCCAATCCTCACTCAAGCAAGTTTTTTATTTTTTTAGATCATGAGTTACCTCATTATATCACCTCTACACTCTAAAAATGGCTGGGTTAAATACAACCCAGTGCTGGGTAAAATAGGGACAAACCTAGCAATTGGGTTGTTTTGACCCAGCAGTCGGGTTACTACCCGGAAGGTTGGGTTAAACATTAAACCCAACCGCTGGGTCAAAACAGCCCAATTGCTGGGTTTGTCCCTATTTTACCCAGCACTGGGTTGTATTTAACCCAGCCATTTTTAGAGTGTATAAGCTAAATCTTGTTTTATTTAAAACAAATGTCTTGTAAAATGTGGTCAATACTTCTGCATTCACTTTGTAATTGTAAAATTTTTAATGATATATATATTTTTTCCTGCTGTAATTGCTTCTCAAGGAATGTTCAGTTGAAACCTTTCTACCTGGCCTGACTTTTGTTGGTATAGCCTAATGTGGTTAAGTTTATTTTGTCATATTAAATAATGTTTTTACTTAAAACTGCCTTGTAGATGCTACCACTTTAGTACTTTAAGACATGATAATACACTTTCAAAAGTGATTTACAGTTTAATGAAAGTGTTAACTTCCTGTGGGATTTTCTTAGTTTGTGACATTGTTCCAAGCAAATCTGGACTATTCAGATTGACAAACATCTACCCACCAAATCCTCTCCTTATCTTGAGACTTAAGCTTTGCAAGACAAGAACCAATTGAAAATACAGATGGCCATTAGTTTTTAAGACAGCATGTGCATTCAACATCTGTAAGGCTTATGCAGTTCGTTAATTTGAGCCATGTGATTGAGGCTAAAAAAAGACACCGTTTTTTATTTCACACCTGTTGCTGAGTCACAGATCTCCAAAGGCCAGTTTCTAACAATGACACCCGCCTGAAAACATGGCTGACATCCTGATTCTCTGCCTACAACTCTCTCCGAGTCGCTCCTCTGTTGCCATGGGAGACAATCGGGCACATATTTGAGCCGGTTCTTCTCAGAACACCTCAGGAGTCTTATCAGTGAATCTGCATGAATTACAGACGAGTCAGATGAACTCCAGCAGATAAAACAAACACAAGCTCTGTTCTCAACTGGACAATCTGAACCGGAGTGGTTCAGTCATGTCAAGGGGTTTGATTTAGCTGACACTAAGTCCAAAGGTATACAGCCAGTAGTCAGGGACTTTAGATCTGAAACATGTGAGGTGAAAGGAGTTTGGATTAAATAACAAAAGAAAAATCTGAACTGCCACTCACCCTCTCAAACATGCAGATACACACTAACATATAGAATACAACTGAAGGAAACAGGACAACACATTTCCTTAAGGACATACCAGTAAAATGGTCTGAAAGTGTTAGATAAAGTGATAGAAAAGTTAGATAGATGGATAAAGGGAGCATGATATTAATAGTTATATGAAATAAATTATTTATAAATAGGCCTGAATCATAATACAGTATGCAAACTGATAGAAGACAAATTCTAATTCTGCATGCAAAAATTAGGATGACGTCAAACCCCTGTTTATTCTTAATTTAAATATTTTATAACAAACAAAGTTTTGTAGAGGAGTTTGTTTGTTAAGAGGTTTGAGTCAATTCATTGCAGAGAGGAAGAATTAAAAGAACTAGATTTACATTTCCTTAAGGAAACAGAAGTGCCTGCAAGGCAACCAAAGAAAGTTTATAAATGAAAGTTTCAGGTAAGAGATAAAGTAGATAGAACACCTGAGGCCAAGTGGTTTGGATGAATTAATTGCTCGAAATTTTGCAGGTGGATAAGAAGAAGAAGAATATAATGTTTTAAAGGAATCTGTAATATAATTTCAACTGATATACATTTTTAAAAATAATAATACAAATAAATAAAGTGCTTTAAGAATTCCTTAAACAAAGTACTAAGAGTCGGTACTCAACGCCCCATTTCAAGGTGACGTTCCAGGAATGCAGTCATGTCTAGGGAGAGGACATAAGGACTGGTAACCACAGCACATGGAAACATATGTCAGCACCTGAATGCATGCGTCCCAGGACTCAGAAGCGACTCCCTTTACTAGCCCTTTTGAAATATTCATCCA